TTATTATCACAGAGAGGGTTTTCAAGGGATCACACCCCCTCTGAAACGTTCCGAGGAAGATTTCGACGCTGGTTCCAAATTCCACGTCGCAGCCGGGGTGCCTTACATTCGCTACTTCGTCGCCTTCATTCTTCAGTTCGACTTTCATCAAACTTTGTGCACTGCTGCCGGGCAATTTAATCCTTCGGATCCGGCTGAGCACTTGTTACACAACTGTGACATCAACGGAAACTTGAAGGCTGGAGGAAAACTCAAGTAAGTCACCCGATTCTACGCCTGAAATTCGGTATCGGAGCCCGCTTCAAAAGCCCGAGAAATCTCACCTAGATTCGAGTCCAGTCACTCAACAAAAATCCTTCTCCTATTATGAAGTACTGTAATGCTATTCAACGAACCATACACAACATTTCCACGGATATCCTCACTCATCAATCTTTGCAATCAATCGGCTCTTGTCGAAATTATACGGAACACGGCCATTTTGTTTCCTTTCATGATTCACAACTTGAACGCAGTGAAAGTGACGTTCTGTTAATCATCATTTTGAATCCGCTGTAGAGCAAAACTGCCGGCTAATTTGTCAGTTTTACAAGTTCATCAGTTAGTTTACCAGCTACGAACTTCTCGCTGTTTTTAGAAGAAATGCACATTTTTAGCTCAAGCCACAGGGTACTGAATTTCCGAACTGTCTCGTTCAATCGATCCACAGGAAGTTACTGGAAGCTGGGAGTTCCAAGCCTTGGAAGGAAACCTTGTTCGAGCTGACGGGGAGAAGGGAAATGTCCGTTCAGCCACTGCTCAACTATTTCGAAAAGCTACGCGACTACATCCAGAAGTATTTGAAGACCAACAACGTGCCGGTCGGGTGGGAGAATTCATTGTAAGTCACGAAAAAAAAATTGTTTCTATTTATTGACGTTCGTTGAGTTTACGCAATTGACAGAACCGTTTCGAAGAAAAATAAAACATTGTTTTCAACTGCAATGCAAAATATATTATCGCTTTCACTCGATTTTGCGCGCGTTTAATTGATAGCTAACAAAATCCAGGCACTCAACTTTCTGCTCTTGTGCCCGAAACACGTTTCCAGCAGAAACATGAAAAACGACAACGTAAGATTACAGTACATAACATTTTAGCAATGCGTCTGTTCCTGACGCACCTTTGATGGCAGCACATCACTTTAACGGAAATCTACCAGCACTTGAATGCATCTTCTGCCTCGTTGTGAAGTCATACGATGTGAACAACTCGCCTTTCCAAACAATGATTGGCTAAATACTCGTCCCACATTTTGCTGAATACCATCGGAATGTACAGTATACATTTTTGTCTATCCTTTTCAGATAATGTTCCATGTTACAATCTACTGAAAACAAGATTTTAACCCTGACTTTTTTCTTCCATTGTTTCGCAACAACGCCGTTCATCACAGAAATTGAAAAAAATAACGATTCAATATATGCTAAGTCGCGATGTACAAACGCACGATAACCAAACAACGCATGCTTAATCATGAATTCAACAACTCAAGATTCTCGAAATGAAAAACAATAAGGATTCACTCGGCAGGAAACATAACTACGGTAATCTTCGAAAATCGAAGATGATTCAGAATGAATCTTTCTTTCGTGCTCTTCAATAACTGCCTCAATTTTAGAACAGAAATTACACGCGATATCGCATTACCTTGTTTTGGCTAGATTTGAGAAAATTAAGCAATGTATATCAACAACAATGATATCAATTTCCGTAGTCTTAACGCAAAAATTCGTGACCATGCAATCACTGAAAATATTGATTCGAGGTTCAAATTCGGTAAAACCTCTCCCCAAAACAGTCCTTTCCTACCAGTTTACGTACTGTACTTCAAAAAATTTCAGTCATGGGATAGTGTAAATACTACAGTCGAACCTCTTCAAGTCAAACTTACAGGGACCAGCAAGTTGGGGAGGTTTTGGGTTAGGAAAACAAGCATTATTGTTAATGGAAAAAAGAATTACAGAGAAGAGTTATTTGTGTTATTTTGTGCCTTAAATTGCTTTTTCTTTTGAGTTTCCAGGATGCTGAACTTGAATGCAGGGGTTCATTTGCCAAATTGGTCTTCCATTTCCTTTCAAAGCACGTACCAAGATACACTTTTTTTTGCTTTTTGATTTCCTGTGTCAACAAAATATTCGCAAAATGGCCCCAGAAAATTCGAGTTAGGTAGGTTTGAGAGGAAGAACTTTCGAGTTTGGGAGGTTTTGTTTCTACTCATTGTTTCTAATTAGGGACTTCCAGCTGAGAGGGGGAAAAAGGGGTGCGTCCTTCATAGATGGGTGTAACTTTTTTAAAGTTTTGAAATTTAGATGTACTGTATATTTTACTTGATTCTAATGAAAAATATGGACCAAATTCAACAGAAAAGGTTACTTCAATGGAAACGTTGGAATACTGTATTAGGCAAATGAACGCTCAATTCATTTCTACATTCAAATTGAAGTGTTTTTGTTTTTGAAATATTGTAGTTTTAGAGTCACTAAAATTGAGGTGCATGTCTTGATTAAGGATAGGATTTTATCAAAGTTTTCAAACAAAAACATTCAGCGTTTTTCTTACTTGAGAGTGTCTGGTACTTGATTGAATATTGTATTGCATTGTTGTAGACAAGATCATTGCTTTAGAGAAATTTTCTTTTGGAGTCATTTGGATAATAACCTGCCTCCTGAAAGCACACATTTTTCTAACATTTATTCCTCAACAAAATTAAGGAAATACAATGACATGTAGACTGTGATCATTTTTATTTGCATTAAGATATGTTAGGTAAATTTTGTCTCACTCTATTCAGTAGATTGTTTGAGGTTCAAAGCCTTGTAAGGACCTATTGTTTGCATTGACAACCAGGTGGGAAATGCCAATGCTCAACTACTTCAAAAGGCTTTGCAACTACATCCAGAATTACTTGAAGATCAACAATGTTTCTGTTGGGTAATTGGGTGGGAAAACTCTTCATGATTTCATAGTATAATTTTTTTCAAATTCATTCATGATTGCCATAGAACGGTGAATTCATTACTTTTTGAGTTTTTGTACATGGCTTGCCATTTCTTTAAAGAAACACAATTTTTTTTAGCAGAATTCTCTAGATTTCAAACCAATCAGAATTGAAGAGTCTTGTTTTTCAACAGGACACAGTTCAAGGAACAGTTTTTTTATCTTTAATAAATGTCCAGTTTATAGAAAAGCATGATTCAATACTGTATTCTGTTCTAGGATAAGAATAACGTGATTTGTTTCTGGCATTCACTTGGAATGACATTCTAAAATTCATTTTTGGCTGAAGAATACACAAGTTAGAAGGGGAAATTTTTTCGCCATTAAAAAAAGACGTTTTTGGGCCTTTTCAAATGTAATGTGCCAGTTTGATATCATTTAAAATCAGTGTGGTTGATTCCCGCGTCCCAGTTTAATTTTTGGATTTTCGAAATTAAAAAAAATAAGTTATCCGCCAGAATACAATCTTTTTCAAAAGTTTTTTTCTCTTCCGCAGCTCGCTAGTTTGGTTTTCCTTTTCTATTTTAGCTATTTTCCTAAGGACAACTTTTCGAGAAGATTCCTAAATTTTAGAATAATTTCTAAATTTAAAACATTTTTAATAAAAGAGAATGTCATCAAAAAATAAATTTTAACAATGGCCCTATCTAAATATCAAGAGCAGAAACTTGTTTACTATCATCGTATGTTTCCAAAATAAATCTAGAATAATTTACAAAGATCATAAAAAATGCTTTTCACACAACTATGTGTATACTCTGTACTCACTGAATCAACAACAAAACTATTAATAATGCATGGGAAAATGTTTCTTTTTTAACGGAACTGTTCCAAGACAACGGGGGAAACCGTCACTATCCCCGCGCGACGAAAGCCCGGGACACGAAAGCCCCGCGCGACAATAGCCCTGACACGAAATCCCCGCCATACCCGCGCACAGCTATAACGAAAGCCCCGCCCGAACTTTTTTTCAGGACTGGTATAGTTTTTGGAAGTCAGTTTGGCAGTCGCCGCTGGTTAAACTTCATTACTTTGCTACTGATTGAGGGAAGTACACGAGCTCTTGAAGAAAAACAATGATTTAAAAAAATGAAACAAAACAAATAACAAAAGATTACAAAAAATTCAAAAAAAGAAAAAACGGGGGAAAGTTTTTATTTACAAGAAATTAAGAGTCTTTGAAATATTTTCCAAGAAATCCGAGCATCCAATAAGTCGGCTTTGGTAATCTGTGCACAATTGATGCAGTTTTTTCTGGCGATCTCTCTCAAAAGTCGACACTTGCTTATGTGGAATGACACCATCTTTGTCAAATTTCTTCAGCGTTGTAGCAACTGATGCAGCATCTTGTTTCAGGCAGCAAATTAATAACCAAATGGTGGGATTTTTCTTTTCAACCAGGCCATTGAAATAGCGATTCCAAGCTTCACTGAAATTGTTAATCGCGCCAAGATCATTGAGCACAGCCTGATGAATGTTCCACTNAGTGGTATCTTCCACAGAATTCAGAGGAAAGTTGATTTCACAGTGATTCTTGAAGCAGCATTTACTTTGGCAAAAATAATGATGAATTCTGCAGAAATCTATTTTCAGGGGAGGCCTTGGAGCTATCCCACTTGGGGGGAGCCACATGCAAACCAATGCCCTCATAGATGTCACTAAGAACAACACATGGAATGTTATCAGCGGCATCCATGTGTGGTTCTCAAAAATGAATCCTCTTCACCCCAATTGTTCAACAACCCTCTTGTTCCAATGTCTGGGTATGCTATGCTCAGCCTTACCATTGGTCTGTTTCATCCTTGATCCAAGTTCATTACTGACTGTATTTGAATGAAATGTGAATTGACAGGCCCTGTTATTTATTGGGATTCTGCTGAAACTGACTTGGGTGGGGGGCATCAGTTAGGTCAGGTTATGTTAGTTCATAATTAATGCAAAAGTACAGTAGAACTTTGGACAAGAAAGCGTTTTGGGCCTTGAAAAAGCTTTGTCATATACAAAAATTTGTTAAAAAGAAATTTAAATAAGAATGTGGCAGTTGGGGCAGGGACTGAAAAAGACATTTCTCCAAAGCATCAACAAGATTCGTTGCAACAAGATTCTATACTGCACATTTTCCCCAACAGCAATGCAAACCGTTGTCAAATTCTACAGAATCACTCCATCACAGAAAATCTACTCTTTAATTCATGGGGTAGATGAAATCATTTCATTTAAACGGAGTTTTTTGTTCTTTTATCTTCAACCACATGACAAAATTAATCCACTCCTGGATGTGTGTCGTTAGACGGGATTTTCGAAATGCGAGTAAGTTCCTATCTAAAGAATCCATAATCACCATGGAATTGGCTTTCCTATGAATTTTGTTGAAAGAACTACTGCATGCGTTCACCATGGAACTTCACTCCACGGATTTGAATAGACCCGCCAGACGGCATAGCGCACACTAGAGTACACCCTGCCTAGGTAGGGTGTACTCCTGGAGTGCATCCTGCCTAGGCAGGGTGTACTCCTGGAGTACGATTTTGGGGGAGTACGCTGTGCCGCCCACACCGGGCTTTCGTCGCGCGGGGACCCCGTTACAAACCCAGACAACGGATACTTCTCTATACAAACTTGGTTTGCAACCGCAACCCACTTCCTTCAACTAATCCTTTTCGGATTTTTCTGAATATAATTAGCGCAAGCTGCAAAGAAGAACCTTCCATTGATTTTAAAAACTGGTTTTTCTACCGGTACTCATCAGCAGGTCGTCAGCAGGTCGTCCTAATTTTTTCCTGTTTCTAGCAATTAAATAAAAATTGAAAGAATGACCCACAAAACAAGTAACAGGAAAAACCTG